CTCCTCACATTTGGCTTCTGATGTACATAGCTCGGCTTTATTAAGATAGAAAATAAAAGTGTATTTCTTGACTGCTCACCTCGCTGTTGTTTTCAGCTGTCTCATGCTGTAAGAAATTAACCCAAGTTCTTCACTTGCTCCAACAGAACGTGGCTTTTTCTCAACTCTGGTGAAGAAAGACCCCTCAGAGATGAAAGCCTGTGAAGATGAAGCCTGAAGCAGAGAAATAACCCAGTACTAAATTTCTGCCTTGCTGAGACAGAACATTCCATACACAAGAGGAAAACTTAGGTCCTGTGAGTGTAACTTGGGTCTTGTAAATGTAACTCAGGTCCTGGAAGTGTAAATTTCCAGGTGAAATCTGGAATCTGTGAATGCTTTCTTCCCTCCCACCATCCCCTCCAGTCTCTTCCACAAGCTACAACATCATTTCAGCCATTAACTTCCACTCTCCTGTCTCTGCCTTCTTCCAAATCCCTGCACTAGTGCTTCTCTCTGCACATTTCCAACATTTATGCAACTGTAAATGACCTCCTCAATAGCAGTTGCTTTACAATAAAGTGATTTTCAGCCACTACTGTGTTCTTATTTAATATTACCTAATCATCAATCAGATCCTTTAGCTCTAGACTGATTTATAGCAAGAGGCCTTAATCATTAGTAATTACTGGGTTCTGATTCCATTACCACTCCCCTGTGACAGGGAGTGGACCTTTAATTATAGATAGACAGAGGCCACGAGCCTGGGATTTTCCAGAATTTACGTAAGTAGAAAGACTGAGATTTCCAAATGAGTTTAGAAGCCAAGAATCCAACCATCATTTAAACACCAACAGCATCAGATAAAGGGTTTTTAAATATTGCTTAAAAACCAATTGCTTCAGTTAGTAAGACCATTTACATTTTAGAGATTCTAACTTCACCTGAAACTGTTTTAAACCACTGTTAATTTTTACCTCTGTTTCAATATTACACAACATAATTGCTTCAGTTTTTTGTTGTTGTTGTTTTTTTTTTTAAGAGAACTGTACACCATTGAGCAACAGTTCTGATCTCTGATCATTAAGTAGCTCTGAAGTAAACTACTTTTAATTTGATTTATGGTACAGGCAGCTTACTGGTATGATCCAGTCTGGCAAGTTTTGTGCTTATGTCTGTATTTTCATTTAGAAAAAGTAATTATAATTTCAACATACTAGAAAGTGATACAGAAATATTTGTGGTACACTTACAATAAATTGTCATGAGTCATACAGGGTTCCCTCTGCAGTTTAAAAGCCTTTTCTTTGACAAAAAGCATGAGCTCCACAGTAAGTAATAATCCACTGCAGAACTTTTAAAAGGACCATTTAACATTAAGATCAAGCTGCTTGTAAGATGGTAGAGCTGCCATTAAAGAACTCCAAACATATTCTAATTATCTTTTTTTTTTTTTTTTTTTTTTTGGTAAGGTACGAATATTTTAATAGCATGACTGATGTAATTCATCCTTATGCTTCCTATTTTTAAGGAGAGATTGAGGCAGCTATTATTAAGTATTTAGTACTTTGTACTCAGCAATAATTTTTTTTTTATGCAGAGACAGACAAATTCATGCTGGCAACTGAATATTGGTGCAGTGTGTGCCATATTTTGGTTGAACACATTTAGGTGGAATCCTCAAATGAAGTTTGCAAGATACCCCTAAGTCCTTCTAAGACATGCACAGCTCAGCTGGCAGGAGCCAATGAATTTGGAAATCCAGTCTAAATGTGGTGTGGATCCATCTCTGGGATCAGGATGTTCAGGACAGTTGCTGAGATACCAAACACAGTTTAATATTAACTCGTGTGTCACAGCAAACCCCGTGAAGTTGGCATAAGCAAACTTAGCATTCACTGCCCCCTAAATGCAGCTTGCCCCTGGAATGTCTGGTGTTTTGCACAAAAAACAGCTGCCCCAGGAAAACTGAGGCTTTTCTAAGGAAATTTTCCCAGTTCTACTTACCCATACACAGAATAATGACTGAACAAATCAGCTGGCCCTGCTTCCTCACTGGATGTGAAGCACTGGAATACTTGAAAGGATCACCCTTAGGAGCCAATGCTCACATGCTGAATTTATTATCTACTCTCCTGAGGCAAGAAGAGGGAGAAATAAAAATCTGTGACCTGTTAACTCTTTGAAGTAGTGAGGTGTTTGTGAATCACAACTTTCCAGACATGAAAGATTTGCTCAGAAGGGCTGAAAAATAATGTCTTGCAACTCGAAGTGTTCCAGAAGCTGGTATGAGGCAGTGAGACCTGCCTTCTTTTTTTTTCTGTATTTTTGAGATGTTTGAAAAAATGCCTTAAGCTGTGTTCATGTTACTTGTGGCAACCTGCTGAGACAGTTAAAGAGATAAGAGAACATGGTAAAATGTGAGGGGAAAAAAAAAGGATTGAATATGTTTTGCTTAAATGACCGTGTTTTTACAATTCAAATTGGGAATTTGTTCTGTATTCTGGTTGGGATATCTTTGTGTTCTGTATCAGTGTGTCTACAGTGATTTCCTCAGGAGGGTCAGGGCACATCAGTGCTCCTCATGTCCAGGCTGCAGCTTTGGATGGAGACAAGACCTCAGCCATTTCCTCAATCTTGTGGTTTTCTTTCTGTTTTTTTGGACAGAAGTTTTGCAATTGTCAAATCACTTCAGGTAGGCTCCAACCTCTGTGGCCACCCTGCTCTGCCTTGGGAAGCAGACCCAGAAACTGGATCCACTCCCTCAGGAAACTTCTCTTGGAGTAGTGGTTCCAGTCATTGATTTTTCTTGGCCTCATGCTCTTTTTGATCATGTTCCAGCAAATTCAGTTTTTCAAAGTACTTTGTGATGAGTTTGACAGAGATACACTCAAATCTGAAGGCAATGTGCAGAAACACAGCAGCCCTGCTCTGCTGCAAGGATCTACCATGGATTTAACCCACATGAAAAGTGTCCTGTGTTCCAATATACACCAAATGACAACTATTTTAAATCGGAAATTTCAAGATAATAAATCATCCTTGTAATGTACTCTTGAGATTCTACCATGGTTGAAATACTCTATCAGTGATTTTTGCACTGCTTCTATGCAAATGTGGGTTTAAGGCACTCTGAGCAGGCCCCAGTGTAGCTGTCACATCTATCACCCAATGAGCCCTAACACAGAATCATTCCTGCTGAAGATTAGCTCAGAAATCAAAGAAAACAGCCAATTTCCTACTGTACATGCAAGGGTTTCTTGTTTGATCTCTATGTGCATCTGAATCAAACTCAGAAGTGCTGAAGAGTTTGTTTGTTTGAGATAAAAGCGCTTTAGATGCTACAACAGAGCAAAGCCCATGACAGATTTTGGGGAAAGAGAAATGCACGAATCAAAGAGGTCAGAGGGTTTATTTGGGATTGTACATACACACAATCACTTCATTCTCTCAGGAAGAGACTGAACAGCTGAAAGATTTCTCTAATTCTTTTGGATTAATTGATGGTTTTCTAACTTTCTAACAAAACAAGTACAATTTATGTTTTTTGTACAGAAGTGTCAGGCGTGTGCCTTGAAATTCTTCTATTCCACAACACCCCCTCATGTTCTCTGTCTTTGGGACAGGACAACCCAGAAACCATCAGCAATATGGAGCATATTTAATGTTTTAAAGTGAGCTCAAAATCGCTCTATTACCTACAAGAATATACTTGAACAGACTTTACTCAGAAACTGTGAATAAAATTGGCTCTGCAATTATTGAACCTTCTCCTGAAATTTCATTCTCATTTTATCCACTCATTTTTCTGGCACCCACTGCTCAGAGGCTCAAAAGCTACTTCTGATTTATTGACCTTTAACTTCACGGTGGCAAATATTTCTCACTAAGCTCTAAATAGAAACATTTTTTCCCCCAAATGTTGATCATAATGAAGATACAAGAATAGAAACAGCCAATATCCAGCTAGCAGGAAAGATGATAAAGTTCTGGAATGTTCTGCCCGGGAAGATGGTGGAGTCACCATCCCTGATGTGTTTAACAAAGCCTGGATGTGGCACTCGTTGCCGTGGTTTAGTTGAGGTGTTGGGGCTGGGTTAGACTCGATAGTCTTGAAGGTCTCTCCCAAGCTTGTGTGATTCTGGGATTCTGCGATCTCCCGTTTCTGCCCCGCAGCTTCCCCGAGGCTCTCCTGGGGACTCCTAAGGCGTTTTCTGAGCGGATCCACAACTATCCACGAAGGGAATCTGGGGGAAAGCACTGGGTGTAGCCATGACCGCACTGCTGGGCTGTGGGGACATTCATCACTTGGCGCAGGAATCACAGAATGAAATAAACACAGAATATCCTGAGCGGGAAAGACCGAGTCCATCTCCTGTCCCTGCACAGGCACCGCAACAATCCCACCCTGGGCATCCCTGGCAGCGCTGTCCAAACGCTCCTGGAGCTCCGGCAGCCTCAGGGCCGTGCCCATTCCCATTCCCTGAGGAGCCTGGGCAGTGCCCAGCACCCTCTGGGGAAAGAACCATTTAAAATCCAACCTAACCCTCCGCTGGCACAGCTCTAGCCGTGCCCTGGCTGCTGTCCCCCGTCACCAGAGGAGAGCCCAGCGCCTCTCAGAGCTGTGACTGCGGTGCCCCACCAGCACCTTCCTCGCACTCCTCAGTCCCGAGAGCTTCCCCCGTTCCTGGGGACGAGCAACTCCCCGGCCCCTGCGGGCTCTGCTCGCCGCCTCCATCCCCAGCCCGAGGCCGCCCGGGCCGGGCCGAGCCAGCCCCGGTCACCGCGGAAACGGAAACGCGCGGGGCCGGGGCCGGGGCCGCCGGGAGCGGGGCCGGTTTGAACGTTCGGCCGCCTCCGCCGCCGCCGCCTCCCCCCGCCGTGGCCGCGACCCGCAGCCCCCCGAGGTAACGGGGCAGGGCCCGCGGGGCCCGGCGGGGCAGGGAGGGCAGCCGGGGACACTGGAGTGCGCCCCGGGCCGGGGCACGGCCGGGGGCACGGCCGGGGGCCGGGGCTGAGCGCCGGGAAGGGCCCCGGGGCGGGCCCGGTGTGCGGCTCCGCCGGCACGGAACGCGTGCGGTGCTGGATGTGCCAGGAAAGGCCCCGCTCCGCCGGGGAACGAGCGGCGCGGGAGCGGAGAGCGCTGCTCGCTGCGGGGCTGCTTCCCGAAGAACTGTCCTGACAGCTTCTTGCTTCTGCTACTTGTAACTATCGCTCTACTTGATGTTTCCCCTCCTTCCTCCCCGCTCTTCTTAAAAAAAAAAAAAAATCCAAACCTCTAATTCTAAGGAGTACCAAGTTAGGAATGCGGTATCACACAAACGCCTTGAGGTGTTTTATACAAATTGGGTGTAATGAATATATTTATTGTGTGGTTGGCTAGTCAGTTTCAAATCTAAACAAGCGCATTCTTGTAGATTACACTGAGAACCTGTTATTTACAAAGAATCTGTCTTAGGTTTGTGTTTGTTTGAACATAACACATCTAGTTTCACTTTCTGTATTGTTCCAAGCACATCCTTGTGTGGCCTAAGAGGAAGAGAGACTGAAGTAAAACAGAATTTGACCGTTTCTACATCAATGACATTAATTTTGCAGGTTAATTTGTGTGCATTCAACATGAGCAGTGAAGATGAAATAAAGGAAAGACTGGATGCGGAATTAGATCGCTGTATCGTGGCCATGAAGCCCTATGTCCTTAACCTGCAGAATAGTTCAGGTACAGATGGTAAAATGTGCATTTAAACACTAATAACAAAGCCCTAGGGACTGACAATTATTCTGTGTAATTAATTTAACCAGGCACTTCATCTCTGACATTTCAAGGTACAGTTTTGATGAGGGTTTGCACAACTTGTAAAGTTGGATGTTTCAGGTACCTACTGCAATTGTTTGACCTTATCTGTCTTGTTTTCATGATGTAAATGTGCTTTTGCACATTTACAATACATTAACATCTATCTTTAAAAACCTAGTTCAGTAGAAACTAAAGGGAATTTTAAAGGGAATTGTTTCTGAGGTAGCAAATATTTTTTAATTATAGAGTTGTTAACATTTTTTCAGGAATGTGTAATAACAGGAACATCAATTAATAAATGATGTTGCGTAAATCTAATTTTTACAGCAAGCTGGTTATTATTAAAGGCACAAACCCTACCAATTAAGAGCTTTATATATAAACATTTAACCAAATGAATAATTTCCTTATCTGATAACAAATCTTGTGTAAATAGAGATTTATTTTTTAAATGGATGAGGATTCATTGTGTATTTAAAGCATTAATGCTCATGCCAGTTGTAAGTTGTAGTTTGTGGCAGTTCTTGCAGTGAGTGCAGAATTCCTGGGGTTTCAAATTCCATGTTGTTTAAAAAATGATGTAAATTTCTGGTAAACATGAATTTATAGAAAATGTTTGTGCAATATGTAAATTGGAACCATTGTTAAAGACTTGTTTTTATTCTAAGTCTTTAACCATTTATTTTATTTAGTTTGGTCATTTGGGAGTTTGTTTTGTTTAAAACTTTGGTGTAGAAGAGAGAAACATACAAAATTGGTGACAGTGATGGCTTCTGTTTTCTGCATGTGTTTGATTTGCTCTGAAAATGTATAGTGACCCCATACATCTGTATTTTCAGAAAGAAAAAGATGCTCACTGTGGATTAAAAAACTCTGCAAACCTTCAGCAGCAGGCATAGGAATAGTGGGAAGGGAGAATCGAAACTTGTATGCAAAACTTTTGCTCCACATGCTGCAGAGGGGAGTTCTGAATGGTCCCTTCACCCAAAAACCAGAGGAAGGAATCCTGAAAACTTTGCCTGCCTACATGGTGAGTGTCATTACTTCATGACAAAAAACTTGTTAAAAGGTATCCTGGAATTGCTTTTCCAAATGTGACAAACGATTTCTGAATGGGTTGAGTGGAACTCTGTGATAAATAAAGGCATTTCTTGTAATTGATGCTGGGAAAACCTTGCAATGGGCAAAACTTCTTGTGTCTTGAAAATTCTGGTTAGAAGGTGTATGGAAATGGTGTTTGAAGGAACAGAAAGGTAATTGCTTTCTAGTTCTTTGGAAAAATGTAATAAAAGGCCCTTGAGGCTTTCTTTTGTCCTAATCAGTGGATAGCTCTTGTGAAAGGAAAATTGTTCATAAAGGTGGTGATTTTAGTAGCCTAAGAAGACTATAGAAGTCAAATACACATCATTAAAGTTGCAGTTTGCTTTCTGAAGAACTTAATATGCTGTGTACTCTCTGGATGTGTACTCGATGTGTACTCTTGGCATCAACTCCAGTGACACAACAATGCCAATTTTTGCTAAAATTACCCATCCTGTAAGAAGTGCTGGAAAATATTTACACTGTTGCCATGAATTCCCATGGGTTGGGAAAGTGGCATTTGCACACCTGACTGACCTCAGAGGAAAAGGAATGATTGCACTGCAGACAGTCCTGCAAGAGATGACATTAAGGGTGTGAAGAATGTATGTGTGTAAATGTATTCTCCTGTTGATTTTGCATTTGTTCTCGTTCTAGTCAGTTTATTTTGATGAACCAAGTTCACCAAGAGCTCGGAGCAGGCAGGCTGGCTGCTTATCTGAGTGGGTGGTGGGAGACCTGGGCAACCAGGACAGTAATCTGTCCTCTGTGGAGGACTCATCTTCAACAACAGTTCCTGCATCTGGGTAAGGTTTCTGTCCTTGCTTCAGCAGTGTTTGATTGTACTTAATAGCTGTAAGCTGTTAAATGATGAGTTTGGGTGAGTTTATGGCACTCCCTCATGGACTCACCATCAGTGTTTATAGACAGAAACTCTGGTAACAGCTTCAGGGTAATAGACTGCTCTGTTCTTGCTTTTCTCCATTATGTTTTCTCTGACTTTGCATCTCCTTCCATGTCCCATCCCTCCATCCTCTTCCTCTTCCTCTTCTCCCCCTCCTTTCAGTTCCAAACACTTACCATGGAAAATCAACGCCTACATCTGTAGTCTAAGGCCATGATGCTGAAAGCAGCTGTTTTATCAAATAGTTTTAACTGTCTTTTTTCCCTGTAGATTAGAAATATAAACAAGCACACAGCTGGTGGATGTAGAGGTTGTTCTGTGACTGTTGCTCACAGGTTTTTTGGAGGAAATGGAATAGTGGCTCCTTGCAGATAAGCAAGTTTTGCTGAGTGAGATTTAGGTTTTTGATTTGCAGCAGCCAGTGAGCTTAAACTGCATCCTCAGTCCCAGTCAGCTGAGAATAGAGCTGTTTACAGCAGGGAAAAAGGGTGAAATGTGTTGTTGTTATTAAGGCTTGTTTTCCTGTTGGCTTAGAAAGATGTCCCTGCAGTATTGAAGGAGTGACAAGCTGGTCATTTGGACCTTTGGAAAACTTCAGCTCTATTCTGTCCTAATTTGTGGGAATCTTAGGTAAATTCCAGTTTAATCTACTGTTCTTAAGTACTTATTTTCTGGATTATCTTACCTAGTACAACTTTGTGCTGATTATCAGGATCTGTGTTCCTTTTTTTTTCTTTATGTGTCTTCATTTCAGTCATGGATGGAATTTCCTCTTGTTTGCCCCTTTTAAAGCCTCATTAATGTTTAACCTCTGAAATCCTTGGTGAAGGAAGCACTCTTAGACATGGAGTGAATATTAGTGAAAGCTCAGTGGGTGCTGTACAAGAGGAAGTGAGTGCTCAACTTCTGCTTTTGTTTCATTGTGTTAGAAATACATTTTCAAGTTTAGTTTCATAAGTCCAATGCTTTTTTCATGTCTTCACTTACATCTTTCATAAGTGGCCACCATTAACTGATCTCTTGTAGGCACACTGATGTTTAGGCTGTTTATCATCATTTTCCAATCATGTTTTTAGTTTTCCAGCAATGTTTTGGATAAGTGACAGATGGACACTTGCAGGTTAAATCACATTGAGTATCATGAAACTCTTCTGTATCCATTAGCTGTGTGTAATTCTAACAATCATTTTAAAAGTTTCTCTTATGTCTGAGATCTCTGTACCTCCTTTTCTTGAGGATTAGGGGCTCTCCTGGTTGCTTGCATTCAGGCTCTGATAAGAACCTGTGGTTTTGATAACAGACTTGTGGTTTAAGAACCAGAGGCAGACAATGGAGAATTTCCAGTTGAGTTATGATATTACTGATTTGGTCAGTGAATTACAGAGAATTCACTGGAAAACGAATTATTCTGGTTTTGTTTCATTGTGTTAGAAGCACATTTTCAAGTTTAGTTTCCGACACACAGAAAATTGTTAGGAGGAGCTGTTCAGATACCCTTAATTAAAAAAAAAAATAGATTTGACTTTATGAAAACAGGGACTGTATCATGTTTTAGAAATGTTTTTTGAGACCTTGGAAGAATTTTTGTTACTGTTGTGCCGTGTCAGGACCCCTGGCCTGGGTCTGACCAGGTTCTGTCAGTCCCTGGGAGCAGCATCAAAGCCAAAATATCACTCTGGGTGTGAGAAGCAATAAAACAATATCAGCACAACTCTCCCCTGTTAGGACAATTTTAGCACACTGAAATCTCTACAAGGCCCTATTTGTGGTGTAAAAATACACCTAATTAATCTGAATTCCTGATTTGTGCTGTCAGCTGGGGTGGGAATTGCATATTCCTCCCTCTTCATCCTGAGGTGCAGTTCCACCTATTCCCTCCCTTCTTTGCCACAGTTTTTCTCTCTTTTCTACCTGGTTTATAGTAGAATATTGGAATTTGATGTCTTTTCCCACTTTGTGTCTGAACCTAAGATTCAGCTTGGCCTGGCAAAGTTCCCAAAGGTATTTTTGGTGTAGTGAAACTTAATTTCACTTTTCCCCTTCTGTCCTGTGGGAATGAAGCAATGCCTACATTGGTAATCAGAGTGGTTCCCAAGACTCTGCTGAGTTCTCTGGAGACCTGCATTGCAAATTATTCCCTGGATTGCAAATTATTCCATGCCAGGAGAAGCAAGGAAATGTAATTGAATAATGTTACTGGCTTAAAGGAATTAAAAATCAAGTGTATATGCACAGCTCTGCCAGTGGATGCTTGGACCAGGAGTTGGGCTGTGTCTAAGGAAATCTGAATTAGTGTTGAAAATTTTGATAGTTCTGTAGATTATATAAATTAATCTTCACTGCAAAAAGAAACCTAATTTTCCTGCAAGTTTTGCAGAAAAATACTGAAGGTAAATATTTCAGCTGCTGCGTTTTGAAAAAACACAAAATATTTACATACTTAATATTTACTTAAATGTGACCATTTTAAGATATTACCTATATCCAACACATAGATCCTGGTTTTCTTTGTATTTACAATTTTGGATGAGCAATCAGTGAAGGTGAAAATGCAATATATTAAATATTTCTGGATGTGCAGTTTGTAGGGAGAGCCAGCAGATGGTGACCGAGTTCCACTGTATTTGTCTCTCTCCTCTGAATGTGCACTGGGAAACTGCATCCCTGGGCAGGGAATTTGTGTAGCTGGATGAAAATTTTGCATTCCAGCCATGACTCAGTTCCTACAACATTTTCTCAGGGCATAATAGATAATGTCAGTGAGACATGTTTGAGTAACTGCTTGATGTTCTTTATCTCAAGATTCTCTCCTTTCAAAGACCCAAACAAACAGGAATTCTTTTCATAGTGATTTTTATCTTGCAATACAGATAATTCTGTGTTGGACAATTTTGACTTTTCCATATGAACTTGTTTTTCAGCCTAAATAAAAGCCTTAGATATACAAACCTTGCTTGCAAACTGGGGTGTTGATGAATAAATCCAACCTGCTGGGACTGGAAAGGTGAAGCTTTATTTTGAAATGTGAGAGGGTTGGTTTGAGAAATATTTAGATTGGTTTGAACAGAAACCTGGGCTTTCTGACCCTGTAGGAAAATTCTACTCTATATTTATAGAGTGTGCCTGAAAACATTGTTAAAGGTTAGTGTGTAGTCATGCTGGACCAGGAAGAACCAGTGAATTTCCCACACTTTGTTCCTAGAAGGAATATTTACTAATCTCCTTTATTAGCAGCAAATTGCTGCCTCCTCCCGTGCCGTGCTTGGGCTGCAGCAGGAGGTCACAGGTTGATGTCAAAACTCTGCTCATCCTTCACTACCTGCAGTGGGAGGAAACAGAATTCATCTTGTGCTTTTTGGAGCCTGACTTGTATTAGCAGGAGGCTGGAAAAGGTAATGGACAGGTGGTACATACTGGATATGAGCAAAATTGTGTTCATCCTTTCAATCTTTTAAAAATCTGGTTGTACAATCAAGTAAAGGAGCTTCCTTTACAGTTCATCTTCAAAAGAGCAAGAACAGAACTAAGAATGCATCTAGGCTGTTGTCTTCCCTTTGGTGTGTTGGCAAATATTACAGGTAGCTTGGGTTGGCTTGTGTATTTGTTGATGTTCCTGAATGATGAGGGCATGAATTCTGTTTTCTCTCATTTTAACAATTGGAACTTTATTGCATTGTTAGGTAACCTGAGTATTACTCAGAAAGGAAATCTGATGAAAGGGCAGATTTACTCACAGGCAAAGATTTATCTCCCTTTAATTAAAGGTAATTTTGTGTCAAATGAAATCTTGGTAAGAAATGCAAGAGGCAGTCGTTGTGTTATCATATTCTTTTTGATCTTTTTTACCCCTAAGACTTTGCTTATCTAAACTATTTACTGCTTTGTAATTGTTATTGTGCATCCATACATGCTGTTTGTATGGGATTTATTGGTGCTGGAAGGGAAGGTAGGCTCCCAGTTGTTGCATTTCTCTGTTCCCTGCTGTTCTGATGAAAGCTGGGGCCCTGTGCTTTGTGAAAACTTTGTGTTTGTCTCCCTAGAAGTGACTGGTTTATATTGTACATCCAACAGTTGTTGTTCTGTTCATAAACACTTCATTCAGCTCAGTGTCTTTTTGGCATAGCAGCCATCTCATTTGCTGCCAGATGGAAAGGAAGGGAGGTATTGAATGCTCTGGTTTGACTTTAATATAATATGGCCAGTCCTAGGAAGGTGAAGGGACCAACAGCAGTTTTTAATTACCTTAATACCTGTGGATCTGACAGTGGAGTATGTGCTGAAGGCTGTTTCACTACTGTTCTGGATCTTTCGCTGTATCAACCCATCTAATAAATGCTTAGAACTTCTACTTTATTTTGTTCTTTTTCCCCCTGCTCTGTGGCTGAGAAATGCCAGTGGCCAGGTGCATCAGTGACAATTCTCCTCACCTGTCTGCTGATCTGCACTTCCCTTTCTCAAGTGTTTCATTTACAGCAAAAGCTTTTCCAGACAATGTCCCTCCACTGGACAGAGCACTTGCTCATGCTGTGCTCGTGTCCTGTCTTGTGGGCATTTCTTTACCATCCCCCATAAATTCCACTTTAGTCCATAAAACAGAAATGAAATTAAGCCAAAACAATCTTTGAGACTTGTTCCTTTCCACCTTGGCCTTTCAAGTGACTGCCTTTGTACAGATCTGTGTATGTCATTCCTGTCCTGTGTGTGTTATAGGATCATTTACCTTGTTCTAACCTATTTTTTTGGTCTTAAAAGTCTCCCCTATGGTGCAACCAACCATCACCTTAATTCCTCTTCTCTGAGTCACTGGACTCCATTTTATGTTGTTTCATATTCTTAGCAATATTGCTTCAAAAATGTTCTCTTAGATCAGCCCTCTCCTTAACCTGGATTTATCCTAAAATCCTTTGGGAGATGTTGGGTTATGTAGTGAAGGAAAACAAAGAACACTTTTTAATGTACTGTCATGTACACAATGTTTTTAGTGGGTTTTTTGGTGTGGGGTTTTATGGTGGTGTTTTTTGAATGGAACACTCAAGGCTTTTGTTTGCCTTTAACATGAAATTTTTCTCTTTTTTCTCCTTTCTTTTTTCGACCTTTCTATCTCTACAGTTATTTTGTATATATTTTACCCAATTCTATCCTTTGTGTGCCACAAGTTGCTGAAAATGAATTCCTCTCTTTCTGCTTCCTCCTGTCATTACTAACAGGGAAAGACTCAGTGAGAAGCCATCAGTGATATCCCGTTGTCTGAGCTCTCCTCACCGCACGGATGAAGATGACCTAGGCACGTCACTGTCTGTAAGATGCTTCTCCTTTTTGTCCTAAAGCTCTGCTTTCCCTGAGTTTTATATATCCCTGTAAAGCTGTTATTTCCAGCGGTGTGGGTCATGATCCCTGTGTAAAGGTGCAGATGTTTGGGAGGGAGTGATAGGGAGTGTCAGGCTTTTTTCTGATTTTTGCCAGGGTCAGGATTAAATGTGCTGGAGGGTATTTCTTGTTGGGACTCATGTTTATTAATTCTTATCTATGTCACAGACTCACAAACCCTGAGTTCTACAGCACTTCACTCGAACCAAGTAAAAATGGAGCTCCATCTCTCTCTCAACAAGGCCTTTTAAGGATAAACTGTCTAATTACAGAAATGACACCTAAATTATTTTTACTTATAACTCAGTAACCAACCACTCATGCCCTGTAATGTGGACTTTTTTTATCCAATTACACAAAACCACCCAAACCCATGGAGAAGAAGGTGGAGAAGGAGCAGCCTCTGCCCTAAAACCTCCATCTTGCTTTATATATATATATAACTATATTTTAAAACCTTAAACTCTGAGTTTTCCACCTTGTGATATCACACACTTCTGTTCAAACTCACACCCACAATCCCAGTTCTGTCATTCAATTTTGGAAGCTTCTCCACAGCCTCAGGTCAATGCGGTGTTCACTTGTGGGTCAGAGCCTGGCAGCACAGAAAATCTCAAATTCTCAGTAACCAGGGTTCCAACAAGGGAGTACTAAAGCTCATCAAAATCTGTCCTCTGCAGTGCAGGGGAAAAGAATTTCTTGTAGGATGCTGAGTTCATCCTAATGCTTGACCTCTGTTTAGTGTTGTGTGTTCAGTGTCTGCTGCATTGTTTTCCCCAGGCTTGGCAACGTGCCTGCATTGACATCATCTTGTATTTTGCAATACCAGATTAAAGAAAGCTGCAGAGATGCCTCTGGCTCTGTTCAGTGACGGTTGACCTCTGAAAGAGTGAATTTTGGACAGTTTGTTTCATCAGACTTTCCACAAGGAGCATTTTGACTGATGAAAGGGCATTGAACAGGCTTTGTCTGAAACCCTTTTAGTCCAGCATATTCAATGATGTTGTTTATATAATTGCAAGCTTTGCACTGACAATTACTCCTGACAAATGTGTGATACCAAGAAATGTGCTGTTTACCTTCTAAAATGTGCTCTGTGGCCTTGCAGTGTCCTTCACCACACCTAGAGCAGCCCTCACCCCTCTGAGCACTGAATTTCCTGTTTGTTCCTCCAGCTCTGCCCACGCTTCATTTTTGATTCTATCACAGGAACAGTTTAGAAAGATTGCAGCTGGGCACAGTTGAGGATTTATGAGGACATGAAGTGCAAATAGGATAAACTGGAAGCTCCTTTCTGAGGAAATTTGTGTTCTGCTGTGCATCTGGAAGAGAGGATTAGCAAGGGGATGGTTTATCAGGGCAGGTTACAGGTGCTCAGTGGGCAGAAATCAGTGTCTGTGCTCTGGGCTCTGATTGCTGGGAATGTATTTATGTGTGTGTTGATTGTATGTATACAAATGGAATTTAAATACAGAAATGCCATCATTAAAAATAAAACCACATGCTGGCTTTACTACATGTCTCCTTATTGGTTTCCTGTTTATTTTACTTCAGGAAATATTCCTTATGGAAGAGTTATTGTAAAAAAATTATATTTTTCAGTTGAAACTTGGATTTGGAGCTTTAAAGTTTTTGAGGGGAGTTTTGCTGCTTTGGTTTGTTTATTTTTAATTTTTTTTTATTTTTTTTTTGCTGTTATTGCTGGCTCTGCTGCAGCTTCCAGGTCAGTGCTGGACAAATCACTGCTCTTCATTGATCTTCAGCTCCATATTGTGGATTGCAGCTCTAAAAGGGCCTTTAAGTGAACCAATCCCCTCTTGCTTTGCCAGTTTGATAATGTTTGGCTGGCTGGAACAAACAACACCTTGTTCCATTGTCAGGGATGTTCTGGGGTTTCACAGATGTTCTGGCATGGTTCAGGCCCAGCTAGAGGAGCAGGGAGACTTTTAAGAAACATTTAAGAAACATTAAGAGCTGCCTCAAGCAAGTGCTGATTAACAGCAGCCCAAGCTCTGCTCACTGGCTGCTTGTGACAAATGAGATTTAAAGAAAAGGTGCTGGCAGGGCCATACACAAATGAGACAAAGTAATTCAGGCTTCAGTGTTGCTTTTTAAATACCTGGGCCAAGAAAAATGTTCTGTACCAGCTTTCCCTGGTAGACCCATTAAATGTTGGTGGTTGTTGTTATTCCAGAGGAAAAAACTTTTCTTCTGAGGGGCAATTCCCTGGTACCTCTGCAGCAGCAATGACCCAGCCCTGGCTGGGTGCTGGAAATCAGGGAAGAGCCTTGAGCTGCTCTGTCCTCTGCTTTGAGAACCTTCCCTGCCTTGGTTTCCTTCCATTTGAAATCTGCTTTTTTATCTGGAGGCCGATCAGGTGATCTCTGAATTCTGCATTAGCCCCAGAAGGCACTTTGGAGATGAATAGATGCCTGAAAAAGGAGTATTTTGGGTCTTTTAGTAAATTCACCCTCTACAAAACAGACTATTGCTTTGGAAACAAATAAAGAAGAACATTAAGGTGGTGAGCCAGGCTAATTTATCCTCTGAGCTGCTTGCTCAGCCCAGTATCCTCTGGAAACTGAGCTGTTTAGGTTAAAGCCATCAGAAGTATTGTGACATTATTAGGAAGTGCAGTGTAGCTATGGCCAAGTCAATGAGAAGTTTAATTTTAAATTAAAAAAAATTCATTGCCAACAACACTGATATTTTCCTTGACTTTTTTTTTATGTTCCAGGATGATCAACACAAAAGAAAGTTTTCATTGGATGATGATGACCTGGAAGCACGGCTCAATAGTTGGAATCTTGGGGTAAAATAAACTGAGTACTTTACTTATTTATTAACTTACAATGGGAACTTGTCAGTAATGTAGTTCGCTTTCTGAGCTTAGCCAGCAAAAGTTTGTGTGGGAATCTTTTAGAAATGAGTTGCTAAGGCTTGGAAAGGCTATTTATGAATGTATGAGAAGAAAACATTGAAATTTTAAGTAATAATAATCTTTACACATTTAATATGGTTACTCATAAATCAGGCCAAATAATGGCTGCTGGTCAAAACCAAGAGTCTTACTCTGGTAGAAATTCAGAATAATTCTTGATGACTCTGTAATATTACTTTTTATTTATACTTGCATAAATGAAAGAAGAGTTTGGCTTTCTGTGTTTATTTTTTTTAACCAAAGCAGAATTTATAAGTCATTAGTACAACTCAAGTTTTTTTGGTCAGTGTGCCTCCTTTTGAAAGTGTTCAGGAGGCTTTTCTGTGTATTCACCTCTTTCTTTCCCTTTTAATAATTCAAATTTATTACTCTTATAAGACTTTATTCCCTTGGTTGTGTTTTCTGTGGTGTTAGTCCGTGATAGTTCTAAGGAGACAATGAAGCATCTCTTCTCTGTGGATGTATTTTAATGTATTTTTTCTATTGTGTTATTTTGTCTTTTTTGTAACCCTTTCGCTTGCACCACCAAATCTTTAACCTATTTCATTGGAATTAATATTCTTACAGCAATTTAGTTTTATTAAGATCACTCTGATTTTAACAGGGATGTTTCTTCTTTCTTTTCTTCCTTATTTTGGCTTATTCTCATAGGTTGAAAGCTCACAGAGTTGCAGCCAAAGTTAGGAGTGATGAGAGAGAGTTTAATGAAATAGTTCAGCCTTGTTTTTTGAGAAATAATCACATATTTTCATGTTGTCATTTTAATCACTGCCAAATGATCCTTATTCTTCCTGCACTATTGTCAGTCCACAGGGATATGACAGCATTTAAAAATCTTGCCTATTACACTTCAGGTTTTTCATGGATGGCCAAGTTCTCCTCAGTGCAATCAGAAATGATAACAGAGAATATTAATGGTTTTCTGTCCTTCTTGGTGTTTCTCTGGCTTTTCCAAGCTGAGGGTGGAGATGGCTGAAAGTGTCAGCATTGTGCAGGTGCCTGAAACAAAGGTGCAATCGCTTGCAGATTTGGAATATTTGGGCTGTATTTATCCATTGAAAATAGGAGCAGAAAGCTGTAATACCTTGAGCTTTCAAAGCTGCTTTAAGGGGGAAAACTTGCTCATGGCCATTTACAAATTACACCAACTGATGCTGACAAAGGATCTCTTTATATCCTGCATTTTTATATCTGTGTCAATCTGCCTGCCTGCTTATCTCTTATCTCTGCCATTTTATTTGTATTTTATTTCTTTCCCTAATTGAAATTCCAGTTTGCAATCGTGTTGTGCTGATAATGGCTGGTTATTAAAGTGTGATGATCCTCTGCTGATACAGGAGCTCCCTTGGATAACAAATTGGCTACCGTGGCACATAAATCAGTTTTTCAAGTCTCCTCTCCAGGGATGGTAATTAAAGAAGTCGCTCATGAGAGACTTTGATTGCCTGATAAGACTTGTTGGGAGTTACCTGACAAAGGGGATTGGAGGTTGTAAAGGAGAGGTCTGCGAGGGCTTGTGCTGAGCAGCATTTCCCTGCTGTGGATCACGGCCTCCGGTGGCTTCTGAAAGGGTCAGGAAGTTTTAAGTGCAGTGTCACACTTAAAGAACATGGCAGTGCTAAAAATAAAAAAAACCCCACTAAGTGATCCCTTGGAATCTGTAAGGTTTGAGTGTCAGATGTGGCTGCTGTTGTTTGCAAGCATTTAAATTGCCATGGGAGCATCTTGCTGTCCTTTAATTGCTACTCCCAGCTTCAAACCTTTGGGAAACTTAATTTACAGTGATCCCACCTGAGATACAGGAGACCCCTGACCCAAAAAATACTTCAGTAGTGGGGGAAGATGGCAGGGGAGATACGGAATGGCTTTCACTTTGAGCTGCCTGGGCTAAAGAAGAGTTGTTTTGAAAAGCTTTTGAAACTTTCTTTGGTTATCCAAGGATTTTTGTCAGTAAGATCTGTCACATTTTAGGAAGCTGTGAGTATTTCAGGCAGGTTTATATAGAGACCATGCTTTTATCCAAGAATCTGCAAATGCCCAGCTAGGTGAGACAATCCTGGTGTCTTCCAGCTGTGAGGTATTGCTGAGCCTGGGGTTGAAATGATTGAAATGACCAGTTATAAACTGTTATAATTTATTTTTTACTGTTATCTTTCAGCCTCCTTCTTCTTTAATATATTTTAAATTTCCTCTTCTTCAAAGGTCTTGTATTTTTAACACATTCTGGATGCGTTTTCAGTTTCTATGATATACCCACATCAGTGATTGAGATTTTATTTATTTTTAATATTAAAAGTACTGTGGAAAGTTTTGGGAAATGCTTTTATGACTTTTCTACTAAGCTGAGAGGTCAAATCTGGAGGCTTCAGATATTTGTTCTTAATAATAACATTTTCTACAGGAGAAGTAAATCTGTTGTGTTACTTTGCTGATATTGGTACTTTTTGTGAGTAATAAAAGAATTTTCCCCTTTTCCTTGCAGCATTCCTGATTATCCCTATCAAACATTTTATGATTCAAGTTCTTTAGATTCTAATCAGGCATGAGTAAATGCTTGAAAAAAACCAGTTGAGTTTTGATTGTGATAAATTTGCCTTTCATACGTGGAATACTAATTCACACCCATTTTACATATATCATAAAATATGTTTTTCTCAGCCTGTATTGACTCTTATCTAAACTGTTGTGGGGACTGTTCTTATCAGGTGTTCATGATAATGCCTTGAAGGTGCATTTGCAATGTAGAAAAGCAGAAATTCTTTTGTGTGGCTGTTTGAAGGGAAAAGTTTCAGGAGCTGAGACAAATAAATACCAGTGATCTTTGGTCATGTTGTTACTTTGAACTTTTTGTCATTCTTCAGCCATCCTGAAATATAATAAAAGTAACCTGGGCTAAGGGAATGAGAAAAAACTTTAAGGTCCTTTCCAGCCCAGACTTTTCTGTGGTTCTGTGGTCTTATTTCATCAACAGCTTCATAATATTGCAGCTCTAGCGCACTTCATAACTGAAGGGAAGGTGACTATCTCCTGTTTGTCTCAGAAATAATTGAATATTGTGAGAGATGTGTAGTGTCAGGGGAAAAACCTCGTTGGATAATGGAATTAAACTGCCTTTTTTCCTTTTCTTTTTTTTATCTCTTTAGCTGAGCTTTTTAGATTGTAGACAAACATAATTATTAGATTAAAAAAATTAACTTACATGAAGAGATAGCAATGAATTAAACCCCTGCAAATTCTTACCTCACCTTTCTCTCTCTTTCATGATGCCTGTGGTACAGTTTCATTTGTCACCAAATTGTAGCCAGTTTGAAAGCATCTCTTTCAAACATCCCAGGAAATTCAGCACATCATTTTAGGTGGAAAGCACACAAAGAGATTGCACCCTGGGGAAACAGCAAAGGGCTTTTTAATCAGGGAGAACATGATTTTTCATCACTGGAATTCAGCCAGGACAGGAATTAATTCTGTGACCGTGTTCACAGGGGTCTGGGGATGAGGGAAGAGACGAGGATCTGACTCCATGTTTCAGAAGGCTGATTTATTATTTTATGATATATATTATATTAAAACTATACTAAAAGAATAGAAGAAAGGATTTAATCAGAAGGCTGGCTCAGAATAGAAAAAGAAGGAATGATAACAAAGGTGTGTGTCTCAGACAGAGAGTCCAAGCCAGCTGAACTGTGATTGGCCATTAATTAGAAACAACCACACGAGACCAATCACAGATGCACCTGTTGCATTCCACAGCAGCAGATAATCAATGTTTACATTTTGTTCCTGAGGCCTCTCAGCTCCTCAGGAGGAAAAATCCCAAGGAAAGGATTTTTCATAAAATATCATGGCTGCATTAACTCTTTAGCTTTTCCCAAAAGTGATGTGGGGCTGGCTGGACGCTCAGTCTTGCCCAGAAGAACTTGTCCTGGGAAATGTTATTGCTTAGGAAAGGTTTGGAAGGCTTAGACCAAAGAAATCCTGTGGTTGGTGGCTGTGTTCTGTTCTCCTTCCTTGGAACAAAGCGTTGTAACACAGGGTTAAGTGATGGAGTGCAGGGAATTCCTGGGAGGCTGCAGCCTTGGCTCACATCTGCCTGGGTCTTTCCAGTCTAGTTAAGCTCAACCATTTCTGCACAAGGCATTTGATTATCTTTTGTTTGGTTTCTCAGTCTGGCTGCTTACTATAAACATACCTACTGTATATGTTGTGGCCTTGGAGGGCAGCAGGGCTGGGAAAACTTTCCCACAGTGAACTCCAAGTGATGTTGAGACTTCAAAAAAATGAATTCAACTTCCATGCTGACAAACAGCCTTCATGTGCTTTAATGTCCTTCCACTAAGACTGCAACAGCAGCATTAAAGTGAACTTCCCTACAAATTATGATGTTAGATAAGAATGTCCTTACTCAAATTTCCTGAAGCTACTCAGCAGTTATTTCTGTAGGGAACATGCTGGCTGGCTGGGTTTGGTAGATTAAAGTAAGAATTTAGGGCAAGGTTCAGTTTAGTTGTTTACCATTTCAAAGTCTTAAGTGTTCTTAACTCTTTCATGTGTGTTTTTGCCATCCTTGTTTTGAAAACAATCCCATTTTGTCTTTGATGAAGCTTAGGGGGGAATTTGCAAGGAGCCTGCAGATTTAAGTGTGGGGGTTTTATTCCCTGAATCTTAAAATTTACAATATTCTGTGAGTGGCTGAAGTTGTGCATTATTGGAGATATTCATGCCTGGAGAAACATCTTGCAAAGAGTGGAACAGGACTTTAAGGGGTAGTTTGGAACCATGACTTGAGTGTTGTCATTGTTGTGGAATATTTACTGAGCAAAAGAGCAAAGCTTTGGTGGGAATTTCTGGACTGGACCATATTTTCAGCCTGAGGGATGGAGTGTAATTGATGAGGATGAGACTTGTGGAAGTACTTAAAGCTCAAAATCGTGCTTTTCCTGCACTGTGCTTGCTTTTGGGGGAAAGCATTCCAACTTTTGTCAATGCTTTGAGTGAAGGGTTTCAACTTCACTCATTACTTGCATTGATAGCTTTAAATTTGTATAACTCATAAATATTTAGTTTTGACTACTTTAGGTGTTGTTAAAAAAATAAAAATGGAAAATACTGAACTTAAAAATTATGGCTAATTTGCCTAAATGCAGTTTTGGAATTTTATTTTTATGTACGTTTCTGCAATACTTTTTTTCAATATTGAATTTAAATAAGAAAAAAATACATATTTTAATGAAGTAGATTATCTCTGTTAGGTGATGGGGATTTCCTCATGGGGATCTGATCACCCAGCACCTTCACAGCTCTGGTTTAGGAGAAAGAGAAGGTGACCATTGCACTCCTCACAAATTGAAACATGATTTCTTGTCAGACTGCCTAACAGAGCAGGGGAATCCAAAATCTTTTCTACAAAGACATTCAAAATACCATTTCTGTTAAGAAGTGGTATTTACAAATTAGAGTTCAGTTCTAGTTCAAATAAAGATGTCTTTCATGATGACATTTATTTGGTTCATACTCTTAAAAAAACATGTGATTTACTGCTCTTCTCATGGCAGTCCTTCAGTTTCATACATATGTATTTTGGCTTGTCTTTGACCTTTTGCTTATTATTTTTAAATTTGCATGTTTCTCATAAATACAGACTTTTTTTTTTCTTTTTTGGGGCATTCTTTATTGTGATATTCCCTCTTTAATGTGGTTTAATTTGGAGAACAAGAAGTTTTGCAGAAGACCAGCATGAAAAGAATGAATGTTGAGGCATTAAATGTTTACAGATCAGTTTAAGTGGATATAATCCACAACAAGTAACAAAGTGGGAACATTTAACTTCAAAGCACATATGGCTGCTGTTACAAAATCAAAAAATGCAAGACTTGGGCCCTACAAAGTATTAGAGACACATTTTCCTTCTCTCCCATAAACAAGTAGGATGTACCTTAGCTTTTCAGATGGTTTTGAAGTGAAGGCTGCAAACAGCTGAATGCCATGGGCAGATAAAGGATTTTAATTAATTGTAAATATTTACAACAATTTTTATATTACTTTGGCTTAAAAAAGCCAAAGTAAAGGGTGATTCTGCATGAGAGACAGGGCTTTGGGAAATCATGAGGGCTTTGAAATGTGGCTCTGCAGCCTTGTCCAGGTTCCACCAGATTTTGGTCAAGGCTTCCACTGATCCCAACCTGGGGAGTGCCTTGAGCTTCTGGTGAACACCTCAATTGGGCAAATGGAGGTGGGAGGAGGAATGTAATACCAGTAAAATGTAGGCAGAAAATCCTATTGCAGGTACAAATGTGTAGGACAAAGGAAATCCAAAAATTTTCCAGTTTGGAATTTCTGTACCTTTTATTTCCCCTTTCTCTTGATTTGCTTTTCCTTCCCCTCCACTGGATCTCCTGTGGTTGGTGCTCCAGGCTGATCCCATTCCTGTTTTCCTCTCCTCACAGTCTCTTCTGTGTCCAAAATTCCTCTTTTTCGTGGCAGTGGGTGCATCCAGGATTTCTTCATTCCCTGGTGGCTGCCCATGGATTTAACTGCCAACACAGGATACTTTCTGTGAAGGGAACTTGAGTGTAACTTTTAGCAAACTCCCTGACAATAAATATTGTTAAATTATTGGTTTCCTCATGCTTTCAGCTAATATTTTAAAATTCTGGATAACACCATTCATTGAAACTGAATATATGTGTTAAATGTGAGTATCTGCAATGACTTCTGGGTGAAGTGTTACAACTCAACGCCACACAGAAATCCTACATCACCTTTTGGGACAGGAAATGAATAATACTGTATCAAATTGAAATTTCAGAGGGATTAAGCCTCTTTTCCACTGATAAATTCAACACACAAATTTATTTCATGCTACTGCAGAAAGTGCAAGCATTTGATATGTTTGCCATGCCTCGTAGATCAACCTAATCCTACAACTTTTTTTTTTTTTTTAATGTGTATTGCAATCTCATTCATATTCCAGATCTCACTGCCACATTTTACAAGATTATACCCTTGAAAGCTTTTTTTGGGCATTCTGCTTTCTCTGTGATGTGATGTTTGAGCCTCCTTGTCTGAGAAAATGAGAAAGATAGAGTTGTCTGATAGAGGAAGTGGGTTGGGAACAATGCTTTGTCTCCAGTTCTTAAAAATAGTGATTAAGAGAGCTGTTTTAATTATATAGCCATGTTAATGAATTATTTCCTTATGTTTTGTCTCTATAACTTACATGTGTGGCTATAGTTTCAACGCACCCAACTGTAATTTTTCAAAAGCACTACATTTTAATCAGTACAATCTGTAAATGTATTGTAGCTTTATACTGATCTCAATGAGAATTTAGCCAACAGAGTTGGAAATCTTTTGCATAAGCCTATGTATGTAGCTGCCAAATATTTTTTTATGATATGCATTGATGGAATTTTTGCAACCACAAGAGGTGGGAGGAAAAAAGTGCAATTTTTTGGTCCAAAATTGCTGAGTAGATTTCCAACCAAATGATCTCCTAGGAAGATTTCCTATTCCTATAAGATTTAGGAAATCTCATGTGTGGTTCTTTGAGTGATGCAGTTCCTGTGCTAAATATAGTTTAGTTATGATGTCTTGAACTAAATCAGAGAGTGTTGACCTGCTGATTTTTCTCTGCCTTGTTTTTCAGTTAGAAAACCCCAGATACCTGCGAGAAAAACGGGTGCCAATGACTGTGGTAGGTATTTATATTCCCTTGGTATTTCAGAAGGGCAAACAAACCTTTTATGTTATTTTTAATCACTGGTCAGGATTGATTGTGCTTGGATTTATTGGTTGTTTTGAATTTTTCCTCCAATAGGTGACACCTAAAATTGACTGTGGGCAGTGCAGCCCCTCTCGGTACCACCAGACACTGCTGCAAATGCAGGAGAAGGAGGTAGGATTCTTTTCCTTGGAAATTGGGCATTAACAAGGAAGTTATTGTAGCAGAAAATCTCATGGAAGAGAAATTTGCTGAAGTGACAGGGCTTGTCATTAAATACTTCATGGATTTCCCAATTATTTCAGGAGTAAAAAAGACTTTCTGAACATATTTACCGGTCCTTTGAAAGAATTTTTAGTGGAGAGATTGAGTTCTAGAAATTTTCCAAATTATCCTTTAATAGAGGCAGTGAAACCTTTGATTTAGTGGGGACTTTTGTTTGCTTTCTATATCCCTTTCAAATTGAGGAGATTTTGACCTTATTTCTGATAGGATCTACATTATTTCTGTATTTGCTTCATTGAGCTCCAATCCTCTTTTGGTCATATGGGGTTTTATTTTACTTCTTTGTAACTTTGTGAATTCCTGAGATTGCTGCCCAAGCTTGGCTGTCTAATTCTCTCACCCCGTGGTTTTTTGCTTTGAATATGTGTAAAAGTAAAATTTTGTGGTCATTTTTACCTTTTTCATGCTTTAAGGAAGTCGACTGCCTGAGATATTTTGTCACAAGCTGCTCATTTTATTTAAGACATTTCTTTTTTTGAAAGACAGTGAATTAATGGGCAGAAAAGGAAATTCAAGGTGCATTAGGAAAACAATTAATAGAACCCCAAACCCAACCAACCAATCATAAAAAAAAAAAAACAACAAGAAACCAAATCCAGAATCCAGCGCTCTGCTTTGTCTTCAGAATTTCTCATTTCAGCCATATGCTCTTGGAAAATTGAGATAATGTGCAATAGTTTCTTACTATCCAGAAGGACCTAAACACACAAAGTACCCCAAATATGTCTGAGTTGGGGAGAAAAAGGCATCATCAGCAAAGCAGGAAAACATTCTTTCATTTCCTTGGTGTCTTGTAAGGAAACATGGATTGGAACTGCCCTAAAGTTACTTCCATGACAATTCAGAAAACATCTTTAGCAGAGATACAGAGGAGGGTAAAATTGGTTGGCAGATGCCTCAGTTGTTAATAAAAGGATGTGTATGAAATGTTTTCTGGTGCTACCTGGCTGCCTCACTCCGTGCTCAAACAAGCAGCTGCACCATCCATGTGCCTTTCACTTTCTCTGCTCTGCTGTTGACTGTTCTGCATTGACAATGTTCAAACCACCAGTGCCTCGGGATGAGGCAAGGTTTCATAAGATGTGAAAATAGCCCAAGAAATAAATAAATTGAAAGCACAGTGTTGTCATTTAAACAATATTTTCAAATTAAATAAACAGGAATCCATGCCAAGGAGCTACATAAAATACCCAGTTAATACTTTGCTAGTTCAGTGGAAAAATCCTCTAAGCCACACAGTAAAAAATCCAGGACTTTTTGCTAATGGTGCTCGACTGTGGGCTGGTTTGAACTGGAAAGGTTACAGACAGTGTTTCACAATCACCATGTGTGTGCTATTAACGAGAAAACTTAAATGTGTTTTCATCTTATTTTGTTTGTGAAGCTCAATTAGGAATAAAGTCCTTTTTATTTATAGAATGTGAATGTATTAACAGAGAAATGGTGCTGTACAAAGGGGTCCGGGGGAATCATTAACTGTTCCCAACCTCTTTGTAGTACAAGGGGAGAACATAAAATAGGATAACTGTGGGGTTTTTTGCTTTTAACCTTTAGACCTTTGTTCATAAAGCATTCCTGCACCTGTTTAGAGTCTGTAATGCTGAACACATGGCCATGAGCAGTGATAACCACATCACAGCCCTGCAGGAACGCCGATGGCATCAGGCAGCGGCTTTTAGTCAGCTCTTCCCCAAACTCTTCTGACATGGATTAAACCGTTTGGGAAATGGTCATTACTGAAAAATGGTGGGTTTAAACAAGGGAGATGCAACCCAACAGGAATAAATCCCCGTTCAGCAGGACAGCAAAGCACGACAGATGGGGTGATTGGCCTGTCTTGATAAAAAGGGAAAATGTCCCTTTGAACTCCACCTCTGGCCATCCTGTGTCACCCAGAGCTCCACGGGGCAGGGGAGGGGGAAAGGAAAAGTCTGATTTGGGATTTTTCAGAATAAACAGATTCGGTGCCATTGCTAAGATACAGGTTTGGAATTCTTCTGGAATGAGAAAATAAAATCAGCTATGTTAATAAACTGATTTCTTTTAACCTTTCTCAAACAGCTAGTTTATCTGATATATCACTTCGAGACATTCTGGTGTTTCTTTAAAGTAGTTCTCTTTCTTAATTTTTCATTTTGTCAGTCTTATTTATTCTTAGCATTTTTTCTCAATTTCCTTCTGTTTCATTATTTTGTAAGCAAAGATATTTATTTATCTTATCTCAACAAAGGAAGTCTAAACAAATCAGAGGCATATTGGAAATAATTTTCACTTTTCAATTGAAGGTTATACCTGGAATAGATTTGTACTGAGTTGTATACCAGCTCTTTATTTATTTTTCGGACAAACTGGCAAGCTCAGTGCTTTATGCAATAAATTGTGAAGCTTCATCTGTCTGGGTTAACTGAGAACATTGAGTGTTTCCAATGTTTTTGTTGACTTTATCAGTCCTGTCACTCCTCTGTTTTGATTTTTGGGAATCCAGTGATAAGGATTTTGGACACTGGAACCACTTTTCCAGCCTCTTGTGTACTAAAGCAGCCCAGGCTAAATGGTCATGAAGTTGGGGGCAGGATTTTTGTGGGGAAGGCAGTGGCTGGGTTTTCAGGAGAAAACCCCTGGAACAGCTTCCACCAGTTTGTCAGCTGAGATAGGTGCTGTAAGATAACAGAGAACATAGAGAATGGGAAAAAGAAGTTTGGGGTTTTTTCCCTGAAAATCCATCTTCAAGGATGTATTTGGAATTGTGGGGAAAGGCAGTGGCTGGGTTTTCAGGAGAAAACCCCTGGAACAGCTTCCACCAGTTTGTCAGCTGAGATAGGTGCTGTAAGATAACAGAGAACATAGAGAATGGGAAAAAGAAGTTTGGGGTTTTTTCCCTGAAAATCCATCTTCAAGGATGTATTTGGAATTGTGGGGAAGGCAGTGGCCTGTGGGACAGCTTCCACCAGTTTGTCAGATGAAATAGGTGCTGTAAGATAACAGAGAACATAGAGAATAGGAAAAAGAAGTTTGTTGTTTTTTTTTTTCCCTGAAAATGCATCTTCAAGGATCAAGGACCAGAAGCAAGATGAAAAACGAAGAGTGTTTTATGGGTTTATGATTCAAGAAGTCTTATCTTGAGGATGCAGCCTTTTTAAAAAGCTATTTAGGACCTTCATCTTTGTAATCTTTATTTCTGTTTTTCTCCTTTTATTTTGGGAATGAGCACTCCCTTTTACTGCGTGACACAAATTTTGTTTATAAAGATCATCAAGCCATTCCTATGGTTTTACTGCAGCAGAAGTGTTGGGATCTAGTGATATATTTGCGTGGAGATAAAATCTGCAGTGCTGATACAGTTAAGTCGTGGTCTGGCTAAAAGGGCTCTGGATTGAAGGTGTTGAAAGCAGCAGATTTACTGTGCTTCTCACTTATCTGGCAGGAGATTATAACTTGAAACAGAGCAAATTGCACGAGGGCTGTGATATGGATTTCCCCCAAGAGGGACCATACAGAGAATGTAGGGAAAGGAATGCAGGGAGGAAAGAAAGTTGTAAAACTCGGGAGGGAGAGTGAATAACACTGGCTGGTGTTAGCATGGAAAAGAGGAGGGAAAGAGCATTTGAAGATAAGAGTCCCTGCAATTAGGAGATGGTGATCAGTGGGCATTGTCCTGCTGGGTTTGATTTCTTCCTCTTAAATGCCCTGTTCCATAGTGAAGTATTTAAATACATGAAATTCATGCCAAATATGAGCAATAAATAAATCCAATATGGAGACAATATCCTAAAAAAGAACTCTTGTAATTAAACCACTGTAAAATTAACATTATTGTGTCTTTAGCTACATCATGGATTTTATATTTTTACCTCATTAAAAAGAAATATTTTTGTTCATATTTTCCGAGGATGGTAAAAAAAAATATCAGTATTGTGCTTTTGTGTAATATATTGAATTAAAAGTGTGTGCTCATGTCTGTGTGTGTCTCTGGAGTTTAAATATTGGTGGATGGATATAGAAACATCTGTGTATGGAATCAGGACAGCTGGATACAGCTCAAGGAACCTCCTCAGATGTGCTGGGGCTGTTTGTGCTTTTTAATGACAGGAGGAGAGTGGTTTTGATGAACTTTCTGAAAGCACTTGAGTGGGCCCAAAAACTGAGTCTTACAATAACTGGAGCTTTGTGTGTTGGAATTTTTTTTCTTTTTATCCCTCTGTTCTTCCAGTTCTCTTCCTTTGCTGTTCCCCTTCTTTTGTCATCCTGTTCACTGGGGACTGTCCCAGCCATATTCCTGCTCATAAATGTCATGCTGATTTCCAAGGGTTAAGATTGTTTAGGTTTTTAATCCTGGTTTTTAATTCTTGTTAAAATGTAAGAACGTGTATTGCTTACTGTTCACACAAGTGTGACCCATAGGAGGGGGCAAGAAAAGGCAGATATGACATAATTATGCCTTTCATTGTGATTTTCACTTTTCTGTAACTTTTTTTCCTTGTGACAGCTTGCTTCTGAAAACTCTGTTTTATTTCCCCTTGAAAATATTCCAGGCAGTGACAGCAACTATTTTCTGGTTCATTTGAATTTTCTCCTTCTCTCTGCAACCCTTGTGTCTGTTATGAATGCAGGGTGTGATTTATCTGGAGAATCCAGTTGTAAACTGATTCTCACCACTGAGTAATCGTCCTGAGCAGGAATCTGCTCGTTCATATTTAAAATCACAGCAATCCTGACTGCTGCTAACATAATTCCTGCCTGATTAATGTCCTGCTCCCAAAAACATGTGCAAGTTGTCCGTTGTGTTCCTGGTGAGGAAGTCACATCCTGCCTTGCTTTGATAACTCTTCAGAATGTAATGTAATAAACCCCAAACCTTATTTTATTGCTAGACTGGTGTGAGACACACA